CAGAACTAAAACTTGGCATCAATGAAAAGTGGTCGATGCACACTTTGTTAAGGTCTTTCTTAAAGTATCAGGGAAAGAAAATTTTATAGAGTATTTATGGTGAAGTTCTCAAAGAGCTGCAATTGAAAACCATTTTATTTTATTTTTTTTATAAAGTGTTCTTATAGTTTAAAAAACTAATTTGGAACAGCTTCCAGTTATTTTGATGAATATGCTCCTAAAAATTACTTAAAAACTTGTAGAATATGGAACTTGACTTATTCCTTCTCCTCTCATATATGTAACATGAGAATTTCTATTCTTCAAAGAAGAAATTTTGTATATACATATATACACATCTATTGTTATACTTGCAATAAATCTGAATAATTAATATAAAGTAGATACTTTAAAATGATCATTCTTTGACTATTAGCTATGTCAGCTAGGAGGAACCCCAATTAAACCCAAACTCTTGGGGTCTTATGCCACTTACCTATTTAGTTTATCTCTAAATAGTACTAACTTTCTATCAGAAAGATTTTGTAAGCTCATGTGTAAAATGAATATAAACCATTATTGACTCAGATAATTTGTTAAATATTACTTACTGCTGTTGTTGGCTATTATGTTCTCATAGTCATTTTATTTTTGCATTTTAATTTCCTTTGAAGGGAGGAAAAGAGAAATACTACATTTACCTGGTATTTATTTCAGGTTAACTAGATAAACATCTATGCCCTTTCACATGCAATATTAAAGAAAATCATATACTTTAATCAGTAGGCAAACAAGATAGTTGAATATAAACTTACCTCAAATCTACTATACAAGCAATTGGAAGGAGATGAAAAAAGAATTTGGTAAAAGGAGAAATATTAAAAGATGGCTGAGATTATAGACTCTATTAAAAAACTAATGGGAAATAATAACAAAAAGCATCTTTCTTTTATCACAAAAATAATTTCCTAAAGGGTCCCTATTATTTCTAATTTGAGTTGATGTTCATGGCTTCGGATTAACTCTATTTGGGAAATATTTGGGGTATTTTGGAAAGAATATGGATTTCAAGATAAATTTGGGTTGTAGCCTCTAATCTTAACGTTTAGGTATGTTACTTCAGGTAAGTTTTTAGTATCTCTGAACATCAGGTTAATATTTTACGTAATTTTTAATAATAATTTATTTTATTTACTGTTATTATTTATTTTTAATTTACTATAGGGCACATGCATACACCAGAGAAAGACAGAGAGAGAGAGAGAGAGAGAGAGGGAGAAGTAAAGTGAGAAAACAAGCTGCCAGGTCCGAGACTCGAACCTCAGTCAGTCATGTGAGAGTCCTTACACCTCCTTAACTATCATGCCACTTTCTGGCCCAAGACTAATATTTTATAAAATGGAAGCAGCAATGCAAAATTGTCTTGAGACTTAAACATTATTGTGTTTATAGTACGAGGACACATTTATTTATACCATTCACAGATATAGAAAGAAAACATGTTTTCTTCATACTTTGTAATTGATCTGGGTTTTCTCTGAACTCTTCACTTCTTACCTCACTGGGGAGGGAAAACAAACAAACAAACAACAGTGGCACATGATAAACCCTCTCTTACCCATTAACTTAAACACTTTTTTTAAGGTAACTACATTTCTTTTGGAAGAATCATTCTTTCATACTTCCTTCTCCTTTCCTGCTTCTTTTCAAAATTAGATGCAGGAATGGGGAAGTGGAAGGTTTATGTTACCTCATGGTACTATGTGGTTGAAGGGGGTACCCACAAAGATAGCTTTAAACATTTCTGAATTCCAAGTGATGGCTTCCTTACCTTAGATTATTGCCAGGAATGTGACTAGAAAAGGTATCCGGATAATTTGACAAACTTTTAGGAGATGTTGTGAAGTGATAGGGGTGTGAAGCAATAGAACAGGGTTCAAAGGGGATAAATAATGCATCAGAAAAGAGCCTATAGGAAGCTTGAGATTGAGCTACAAAGTTTTATTGTTTTTATTTATGAATCTAGAAGTCAAATCTATCATGGAATTAGGGAAAATTTTTGTAAGAAACTTCTTCATAAAACTTGTTTTTTTTCATTTTAAACCTCCATTATGTGACTTGCAACCAAGTCAAATTATACCAAACCAAAGGAAACAAATAAAAATAACAAAAACAGATGGCAGCCCTTAAAAGGGGTTCTTTGTTAGTGTGACAGCACAAGCCTGCTTCCCTGAACATTTTATCTGTGTAAGAACTATAAGTGAGGAAATACGTGCTATTCTGTATCTATTATACTATCTTAAACAGAGTTCAACTAGCTGTTCTACTGATTTGTGCTGACTATAAATCATATCCCCTTGGGGACCAACACTTGGCGTAATGGCTATGTCACTGGACTCCCACATAGTCGACTGTGGTTTGAGTCCTGGACCCAGTGGCTTAATCTCACGTGCATGCCCAAGATCCCAAGAGGAGAATGGAGCAGAAGGGATTGCGGCATGGCCATTCCCCCTAGGGGTTGATTTCTCACTTTCTCTCTCTCTCTCTCTCTCTCTCTCTCCCTCTGTCTGTCTGGCAAGCACACAAGCCCTACAACAAAAACCTCTCAAAAAAAAAAAAAAGAAAAAAGAAAAAGAAATCATATCCCCTTCATGTCAATCCAAAACAAATACTAGATTATGAATCCAGAATTTCAGTATTTGCTTTTTGCTTCCCAGAGATGAGTATTACTATTTCAACTAAGTAATGCCATCACTACAGTTGCAATCATTTTCCAAACAGCAGCTCAAATGTTTTACATTTATAAAATTCAAGAGACTATCCCATGATAATTGTGGTTATTTTCTTATCTGTTACACACTCCATCATGAGTGCTTTCAGGATTCTCCCTCTGAGCACTATTGGATTCTTGCTTATCAAATACTTTTTAGTCTTTTGAAATCATCCTCTTTACAAGGAATTTCTCCAAGTTGATGAGTGTTGGTCTGTCTTTGCACAGACCTCTCCCTGTATCTCTTGCCTTCAGCGCTGCGCTATTATCTTTTTACTGTTTTCCTCATGAGAATGAGATTTCCTCCATTGTTCTTCCTTTCATGTGCCCCCTTCAAACAAACGGCCCTCCCTGCCTTACTTAGAAGTGACTTGCCTTTGTCTACTCTTTCCAAACTATCCAAAGGCCAAATAATTTTTTTCTTTCATCCTAAGAACCTAGACTACAAACTAAGCCAGAGAGTGAAGTGGAGATAAAGATGGCAGATGGGTCACTAAGTCTAGGTCTAGATAATATTTCATGGAGTTAAGTTTAGATAATTCAGTAAAGTGCCAGAGGACTCTCTTTGAACTGTCCAAAGGTAAAATAAGTATAATTGACAAGGAAATACCTATAATCTATATCCTCTTATAACAAAGAGTTTGCTTTTATACCTGGCCAGTTGCTTGTCAATTTTCATATCCCCCATAGTCTCCAACTTTGGTTTCCTGAGATAATTTAATGCTATTAGCTAACTAGTCTTCAGACCTCAGTATGTGAAAATCCTTTAGAGGATCTTCTAAAAATGAGATCAACTAGCCAAAGGAATATAAAATCAAAAGAGGGAGATGCCAGTTGCATATGTCATGAGTGATCAAATTTGAATTGGTTCCACATCTTTTCATTTGTCAAAATCAAACAAATTATTTTTTCTATATCCAGAAATTGATTGTTGATAGGAAATGAAGTAAGTAGAATTTGGAATCATGTACATATGAGATCAAATCCTGAAATTATAACTACTGATTCATTATTCATTTTTCCAGGGAGAATTTTTTCGTATCTCAGTTTTTTAGCAGCAAAAAGGAGATGACAATCTTTCAAAGGATTGTTGTGCTGTAAAGTCTAGTGATTGTCTATCTGAAGAGTTTACCATAATACACATCATGTGATAGGCATACAATTAATGATAGTTCCTTTGGTTTCATTTCAACCTTCTACTCCATGACTATCCTGTATCTTAGGCTTACATTCTACCACTAACCCTCTAGTTAGTGCCAGTATTTTCTGGTGCCTAGGAGGTAACAGCTATATAAGCAATACGTTAAAACGAAAGTAACAGGTGCTCTGAAAAATCTACGTATCAGCCTTAATTTCTTTAAATATCTTTACTCAAAGATCTTTAAACTAAAGAAATAACATTTATTTGGCCACTTGCCATGAAGATGACCTGAGACAGCAGACTTATTTGATAACTGTGGTTATGTTTTTATGTATGACATGCTTCACTGCCAATATTTTAGCAACTGAATCACCTACGAAAAGACCCTGGATTCTTTCTCAACACTTTATATTTCTCAATTGTTGTTTCTAGTCTCTAGCTCCACACTCTCCATGAGAACATTATGAAAAGTTTACAAAAATATGGATAGAAAAATCACTCCACAGTCAAAGATAGCCTGAATTTTCTTTGAAATTATAAACTATATCAAAATGACTAATTATTATTATATATAAAAATATATTCCTAGTTCCCAACAATTCTACTGCCAGTAAAGACTGGGATCCCAAGAAACTCAATATTTTGCTTTGCCTTCTTCCACTGGAGGAGTAGAGCTTGGATTACACAGAATCTAAGGTCCTGTGAGAGTTCCTCCAGTATCCATCTCTGTTAATATACTATTCCAGTGACAAGCAAGGGCTTGGAAACCTACTAAGGATACAAGTAAGGGAAACAGTAAAAAACACTCTTTTTTTGAAACAGTTCCCTGTACAGAACTCTGCTTTTGTGAGCTCAAGACCTTTCTCTCTTTCTGTTCTACACTCAGAATTCGGGTATCCACTGCTTGGCTGGCAGTTCCATCTCTTTGGAATGAAGGATAAAAGTCAGAAAACAATGGAAGATCCTTAGGGAAGTGAGATTGCCTGAAAGTGGGATGGAAATAGAGGGAAAGGTGGAATCAGACTCTCCAGGCCAAGGCTCTCATTCCTGGATTTTTGAAGGAAAAGGAACTAGGAGAAGTAGTTGCCAGGACAACCTGCTGTTGGAGAAATGGGGGTTTAGGCAAGGAAATGAGTAACCTATGGTCACTCCTGCTCCTGCCCCTGTCCCTGGAAGCCTTCTACGGGGTCACAGGCTGTTTGGAGTGTGACCTTAAATTCACAGAAGATGTTAAGTCCTTGCTGGCAAACCTGTTACCCTCAGAAGTCCCTGGTCGAACTCATCTGTTTCAACAACACATTAAGGACGTGATCCATTTAAGCTTTAAGGTCTCTCACAGTGACAAGAGACTTTGGGTGTTGGGTGAGAGAAGCTTGAGTCCCTAAGAGTTTTGTGATTTAAAATGAAAAGGAGGGTAGAGAAGAGGATAGCTGGTCCACATAATTTCCTCCACAGATATCATTATTGTTGCATATGTACCTTTTCTATTCTTTTCTAGATGTTGCAAAGGTTGTCAAGTTGAGAACATGGCTGAAGGAGGAATTTTACAAACTGGGCAATGAATCATGGAAAGGTGAGGTAATTCATTCTGAAAAGTTGTACTGCCCAAGCAAGTCTGAGGAAATATGGCTGGGGAAACAGGCAAGACAATTAGAATTAAATTCTAAACAGGACAGTCACCCTTACTTTCTGATCTCCCTTCTACCTCCTCTTAGGTGTCTTTATCTTTCAAGGAAAGCTGCTCAAGGTCCGCAGAGACTTGGAATCCAAATTGACAGAGACATTAAAGACTTTCTCTGATGTCGGTAGTGAAAACTTTTTATCTTTTAACACCAAAATTATGTGAAAGACATAGAAAATGAGGGGTGAGAGGAGGAAGAGATTCCTATCAGAGATGTTTAGAATAGGTCAACATGGAGCCGGGTAAAAGATAAAGAGCACTTGGGTAGACGTATGGTAAACTGTATGTTGCTCATAAGCTCATCAGAACTTTCTGGTTTTCTTTTAGCTTGTTCTGAAGATTGCAGTGAGTACGATACATGTGACATGACACCTTGAGGTTTCAGCCAATATATTCCCACCTCCTTTGCTCTATATGACCCTAAGTTTTACCCTGTTTTTTTTTTTTTAATTGAGAATCCAATTCCTAGAGCTATGATTACAAGAAGAATACACTAAGATTTGACAAAAAACTCTAGTTTATGACACCTTTCAGACACCTCACAGATTTTGAAAGTCCTCAGATGCCTCCTTGAGCAGTTTGCAATCCATGCCCCAATAATATAAGTTGAGATATCACTTCTTCCTACTTTCCCCTAGAAAGATCACTATAACTAAAGATACGACCCATCAAGAAACTTGATTTCTGGGGAGAGAAGTAATTCATAGCAATGAAAACTATAGTGAATTGACAATGCCTGAGATCAAATCCAAACCCGTCTGAGCTAAATAACCCCATGCTATGTTCCCATCTGATTCTTCTACCCTTTATGAGTTGTGATTGAGGGTCCCATTCTGATTTTTCTCCCCTTTATCAGTTGTGATTGAGGGTCCCATGCTGATTTTTCTCCCCTTTATCAGTTGTGACTGAGGGTCCCATTCTGATTGTTCTCCCCTTTATCAGTTGTGACTGAGGGACCCATTCTTGATTGTTGGACATGTCTTCGCATCACCCCCCGGTGCTTCAAAGGAGAATACTGTGGAGGTAACAAAGATTGTGGTGTGGCAATTTGAGGGACTAGGAATCAAGGATGTGGATTTTTCATTGATTTATTCAACAGATATTTGTTGATCACCTTCTATGCTGGTCATAACCAGTTTACAACATAAGAACTAAACTGTGGGGTAAAACTTATACTCATGTGAGTAACTTAGCACTGAACTAATTGAAGAGATGGGAAATAAGTTTGGATGAGAGGTGGAAAAATTGAGCTATGGCCAGAAAGAGCAAAAGTCCTGTAAAACCGAGGGGTCTAAGTGAAGTAAATATGTTAAAGCAGTAAACAGCAAAAACTGAGGTGAAAAGATTCTTCTCTTCTGGATATAAATATTACTGGTTTTCTTCTCCAAAACTAACTCTTTCTTTTTTATGTATTTTTTTTTCCCTTTCTCATTCCTGAAGAGGATTCCAAGAAGGCTGAGAATCGAGAGATTGCACTGTTTCTGATACTGTTGGTGGAAGTTGCAGTACTAGGAAGTGTCCTATTACTGTGAGTTTTCTCCTCTCCAAATAAACACTGGGTCAAGCATTCCTTCGGCAAAGCAATCACCTAAATTTCATCCTCTCCCTAATGGAAAATCTGGTATCTAATACTGTCAGGAGTGAAATGGGTGGAAGTTTGATGGGATAATAATTGGAACACAAAAAAAAAGAAGAGAAATACCCAGAAAAGGAGGGGAAAAAAAGTATAATTGTTTTAAAGAGCGTGACTACTGATAATGAAGTTGGGATTGTCTTCTTTCTCTACTCTAGATTCTATATTCGTGTCTCTCATCGGAGGAAAATACAAACAATTCGAAGGTCACTAACAAAATATTTGAAGAAGAAACTTGAAGAATTAGTGGAGATGGCAGAAGCAAAGGAGACCAAGAAAGAGTTTGGACCTGGAAAATAAATGCATAGGCAGAGACAGGAGGTCTTTCTTGATTCTCTTAAGTGTTGACTCAGAGTAGAAAACAGAATTAAGCTCTTTTCTGGTCATCAAGTCATGGTATTTTAAAACTGAAACAGAACTTGGACTTTCTGTAGTGAAGATGCTATTGATATCCTGAGGCAATGGAAGCAGTGAGAAGGCAAATGATTTACTCAAGAGTTGAACAGAAAGTAACACTGGTATGTTGCAATGTACATAAGTGATGATATGCTGAATGGAAATAAAGATTGCATCATTAGTAGTTTTCATTAATATCTGTAATTATAACAGTCTTTACATTGTTAAAGCTACTCTCATTTCTAACTTTGTTTTGTTATTGTTTCTATATTTATCTATTTATCATTAAGTTTAATATGGACACTTTTTTATTGTTCACACATAATGCTAAATCTTCATATTACACATCCATGAAAAAAATGTCCAACACATTGATTCTGAATAGCTGAGGTCTTACCCAATCATTTTTCCTAAGTCTGTGTTCTAAGACAAAGTTAGATGTTAACATTTTTTTCTTTTAGTTTCCACTGAGCAGTTTTTTCATCTGTGTAGCACCCTAATTAGTGCTTTACATCTGTGATCTAATGGAGTTCTCACAACAGCCTTGCGATACTATGATTTCCATTTTATGGATGATGAAATCAAATATCTCTAACTCAAAGACAAATGGCTACTAATCTGGGCTATGACAAACTTCACTGATGGCTGACCTGTGCTGGTCTAAACCATCTAATAGTTATTACTATTGACAACTATAGGCATGTAATCATGATCAATTAATAGAGAGATGATAAATGAGAGTTTATTATTTTAATATATTCTTGATTATGCAGCTAGTAGGCAAAAAAGCCTGGAATAAACCTGAGATCTGCTTAACCCTAAAATTCATAAGCCTACCATTCTAGTATGTTTCCTTTTGTTCTGGAAGCTTATTTGAGAAGATAAACATCACAGTTTAACAGGAGGGAATGTTTTCAGGAGTCCTATTTCAATGGTGGGTAGGACATTTGCACATTTGCACAATAGATCTCTGAGTGCTTGATTATTATCACTACTGCACTAATGAGATAATGGCTGAATGGGAAAGAACTTGTGGAAAGTCTGAGCACTGATATCTCTCAAGTGCTAAATTTGAAATTCATGTTTGAAAATCATAGATAAGACTGTCCTGGAGTATCTATAATTTCCCCAAAACATAAAGTTTATCTCTCCCCAAATCTTTCTGAGATATATTAACTTCTTTCATAGTCTTAGTTACATTATTGTCTCATACTGTTTTATTTTTCAGTATAGAAAATTATAAAAATGGGATCATGTATTTGCTGGGTTTTCTTTTTGTTTTGTTTTTTAGAGGTTTTTGCTATAGGGTGCATGTACGTGCCAGAGAGACAGAGAGAGACAGAGACACAGAAAGCGAGAAATCACCACGCCCTCCCCCCCCACCCCTAGGAGGGATGGCCATACCGCAATCCCTTCTCCTCTATACTCCTTTTGGAATCTTGGGCATGTATGCAGACATGCCCGGCATGAGTTTAAGCCACCGGGTCCAGGACTTGAACCATGGTTGACTACATGGGAGTCCAGTGACATAGCCATTAGGCCAACTGCTGGTCCCATTGTTGGATTTTTTTTTTTAAGTTTCTTTGTTTTAGGGCAGTCATTTTTTTTTAATTTATATTTTAATATTGGTATTTTACTGTATATAATTAGAGTACACAACCTTATTATTTTAAGCTCATTTCTTCCATGAGCAATAGACAGAGAGAAGAGAGAGAAAGACATATAGACAGCATTCTCAACAGGGTTTTGATGGCTTGATCCACCCTCTCCCTTCAGTCAGACCTAGATCGTAGGTAAGGGTGGGCCCAGCATACTTAGGGAGGTCTCCATACTTGAACCTGGAACCTTCTCTTGTGTAACTGCGTCACAGAGTGTCATATTTTACTTCTGAATCACCATCTGGCCCATGAGATTTTGATAAACATGTGCATATATCTAATGAATCTAGTGAAATGATTATTGTATTTGTCAAGATAATTAACATTTTATCTTGTCATCCCCTCCCTCTGTGCTCTCCTCCACCCCCTAATACTCCACTCTCATCACACCATTCCATCCCAGGAAAACTTGCTTAAAATTTTAGAATATATCTTTCATTATTTTTATCAAACTCTAAATATTTATAAGTAAATGGACATGCACATATACATGAATAGGTAATTTTTCTCAACTTAAAATTACACATACTTTTCTATATGTTGATTTTCATATCTAAATACTTTGCAAAAATTATGTTAAATAATCTGAGTTAGCTACTCTTTTTGGTGGTCATATACAGCGTTGTGGTGTTGGTACCATAATGATTCTAACATTCCTCTACTGATAGGCAATCTCTTTATTTCCTTTTTTGTGCTATGAATATTGCTGCAATAAGTGGCTGTGTGCACATAATTTACTGATAGTTTCATTTGTAACATTGTGTTATGGAATTGGTATATCAGAAGTGAGAGTTATAAGTACTTTGAAAGTTAATAAATGTGAGCAAAATATTGAAAAAAATCTTCATATATATTGGTAATAATAATAGTTCATGCAACAGGTAGTGTGGTGGTTAAGATGCTGAACCCCACATGGCCAACCACAATACAAGTCCCAGAACTAGTGGCTTGCTTTCTTTGCTTTCTCTCTCTCTCTTTATATGTATGTGTGTGTGTGTGTGTGTGTGTATATATATATATATATATATATATATATATATTGTATTTATATACATATATATTATGGTTAAATTTAAAAATGTTAATTAATAATGAATAAAATTAAATAAATAATTTTAAAAAATCAGAAGTCATGCCCTCCTCACCCAGGTGCTAATACACACACACACACACACACACACACACACACACACACGTACATATGTATATATGAAACAGTCCAGGTTTGCTACTCCTCTGCCAATATGGAATAAAGTGTATGCTCTAAGTTTTGCAGCATGATAAATATAATAATTTACTTTTCTAAAAGAATTATGTTATTTAACTTTACTTATTTATTTGACCAGACAGGAACAGAGTGACAGAAAGAAAAAGAGGGAAGAGTGAAAAAGTGAGAAAGCAAGCTGCCAGGTCTGGGCCTCAAACCTTGGCCAGGCAAGTGAGAGTTAAACCACCATGCCATCTGCCAGCCCCCATAATTTACTTCTATCTACTAGTGAGACAGCACCTTTTCATATAATTCAGTGTCACCTGAATTAGCTCTATAAAAAATTGCTTATTCATGTACTCTGCTAATTTTATTTGAATTACCTATTTTTATCAATTTGAGACAGGAACTTCTAAAATATAGATGTTAACTCTATCATCTTTCTTGCAGATACATATTTCCCTGAATCTATTATGTGTATACTGAATACTTAAAGTGTGTTTTAGCTACCTATTTGACATAAAATAAGGATGAATTGATTTTTACATATCTTATATCCAGTCAATTAGCAAGTTTGCTTCTTAATTTTATTTGGCAAAAATTAAAGTCAATTGTATTTTCTAGGTACCCAATAATTAGTATCCAAAAAAAATGATTAATATTTTATTTCCTATTATTTGCACCATTTATTTTTCTTTCTTTATTCCAGCGCATTTGTAAGAATTTTTGTCAGTACTGAATAATAATCAACATTGTTATTATTTTTAAAGGAATCATAGCTCAATCATTATACAACTATTAGGTCTTTAGAAAACAATTACTAAGAAAGTTAAAACATTAAGTGATTTAAATATTTGAAAGTTATTATATTGAAATTATTTCATAAAAACATGAGATTTGCTTCTATTTTAAAAAGTGTTTTATTTTTGTTCTTCATAAGTGACAGAGAAAAACACCCTAAACCCTGACCCCTCCCCCAACCCTACAACTAGCCCGGATCAAGGGCACATTCCCAGGCATACTAGGCAGACCCAGGACACAAGGGAAGCTTTCTCATATGGCCTCCAGCATGGCTCAGTAGCACTGCTACTGTCTGCCTCACCAAGGCTGAGTCTAAGGTGGTTCTTTGGAATTAAAAAATATAGTTCTCTAGAAGAATTCGAATGTGCAAGTGATTTTAGATCATTTTGATGCCTTCAAAAGGTCAAATCTCAAAACCTTTCCTGAGTTGATTATACTAGTTCAAAATAAATTAGATGATTTCTCATCAGTAATATATTTCTTTGTCCTCTTAGTTCCAGAATATACCAAAAACAAAACAAAACAAAACAAAAAATCCAGGGGCCAGAAATCAAAATACATTAGAAAATATACTCAGAAAACTATCACAAGAAAGAAAAACTTCCCTCTGCCCCCAAACTTGCTCAACTCTGTTTATAATCTCTCTATAATCTCTTTCTGGCATGATTTTTTTCCCAACAGAACAGAGAAGGAATATAAGAAGCAAACTTGCAGAGAGAAGATAAACAGATATTAAAATTATAATAAAATATTGACCATAAAATAAGTTTTGTCTGAAACAAAAACAACAGAGGGGTATAAAGTGGTGGCACAGTGGTGAAATAATCTTCTCTAAAACTGATTCACATGGGAAGATTTATATTCTTGTCCAGAGATAGCCCGGATTATCTGAGGCATATGTGTGTCTATGAGCTGGGGCGGGCTGGGGCTGGGAGTGGATTGTGGCATCAAGACTTTGCTGAGGGTCATATCTCTGTCTCTCTTTACCTCTCCCTCATGGGTGAAATAATAAACATTTTAGACAGGAATTAAATACATAAAGAGAAAGCCAAAAGTGAATGAAAGATAAGTAAGGGGATTTAGATAAAAGCAAGTGTTTCCACGACTGTTGTCTTATACTAATACACACACACACACACACAAACACAATTTATATTGTGTAAAGCAATATTGGAATATAATTCTTTTTGGGGAGAGAGGGAAAGGTATTTGCTATAGAGTGCGTGCACTCACCAGAAAGACATAGAGAGACAGAGACAGAAAGCAAGAAATCATCCTTCAAGGGGGGATGGCCATACTACAATCCCTTCTCCTCCATTCTCCTCTTGGGATCTTGGGCACACACACACACACGCACCTGTGTGAGTTTAAGCCACCAGGTCTAGAACTCAAACCGCCATCAACTACATGGAA